ATCAGAAACACTGTTATTAGTGGACTAATTATTTATGATCTCTGGCTAATATATGTATAATCTATATTAAAACTATAATAACTTTGCTTTTATTACAATTAATTTCTACATAATATTTTAATAAAATACTAACCGGCAACATTTACCTTAAAATAACAACAACCAAAAACCCTACTAGACTAGTCTATAGCAAATCGTTAAAATCGTATTGAATGAGTCATTGCTTATTTGCAATTTTATTTATTTTTTTTTTTTTCTTTTTGATAATTTGTTTATTTTTTTTTTATTATTATTTTGTTTATGCGAGTTATTGTAATGATTTTTGTCTTTCTTTTTGGTAGGAATATAATATTACTGATTGGAAATACGAATATGTTTTCTATTAATTACTCATTGTATTTTATTATTGATATTTTACAATAATAATGAAATTACATTGTTTATTATTAAATTAAAATGATAACTGTAACATTTTCATCTCAAATAACGTGAACATTTTAAGGTTGAATTAAAAATTTTTGTAATAAATTTATTGCAATTATTGACAAACAATTTAATATATTTATATACATATGTAGCAATGAAATACTTTACATAAATATTTTCTATTTTAATGTTTGTCGGAACTTTTTTAATTTATCTAGCAATTGTAATAATTTACAAAGGAAAGACGTAATTTGAATAAACTTAGTCATTGGGACATTTTACATTGGAGTTTTAAAATTGACACAAAGCAACATTTAACAAAGCATTTTATTATTTTACTTTTATGGCCAATAATTCAAAATACTTGGACACTTTTAGGTCTGACTTAAACAATTTTCTAAGAAGAAAAATTAATTAAATTATAAATTAAAAACTAAATTCTAGCTTCAACTCAAAAATGCAATATCGTGTGTTTGTTGGGTTTTTGAATGGGACACATATCCGGGGAAAACCAAAAATGGCTATAAAGAGAAGAATCTGTAAGCGAAGACACTTTTCGATGTGTAAAAGTTCTTCCGCCCTGTCAATGCCGGTTATAACGAAATCAAATAATGTGGAAGTACAACTCAAAATTTTTACTATAGCGAAAGTTTTGTAATCATTTACACAAGATTTGGAACGCGAAGATATCTGGGGGCTTTCAGAAAACTGTTTTCAGCAAGTATACATACATGGATTCAGATAGCGATCATCGGAACGCTAACGTGAATTATATAAAAACCGATTTCTGTTGTTATAGAAACTAGTTATAAATTTAAAAAATTCTAATTTGAGGTACTTCAACTACCATTAGCCAAACTTAATTTCAGACCAGTTTTTTAATAAATTTTATGTTTTCTTTATCATCTTAACATTAATTACCATGATGAAAATGAATAATATTTACTCTTGTCCTTTAAGGATTAAATTTTAATGGAAAGAAGTGTTAAAGCATAAAAAATACATTTAAATACCAATACATACTAGCGCTGTGTACTCATCAGGTCTGGATAATTGACATTTTAAAGTGATGCTGAACTAGTACCATGTATTAAGGTATATTTTTTCGGTTTTCAATAATTCAAAAAGTACCAGTTAGAGAACGAAAAAGTACCATAAATTCTTTCCTACAGATTTTCATTTAGTCAGGACTATGAATGTTTATTTTTAAGTTATTATGTTCAATATTATAGAAAATTTAAAAATCCCTTTTGATGAACATATATATACCAAAAAGTCATTTTTACACCGGGCTCTACATGCTTAATACCCATTTTGAAAAAGTACCAGACACATGTCCGCTTATTTTTGAAATGTATGACGATAAGTATTAACTTTTTGTTGTACCTATTTAGTTTAGGACGATATAAGTTCATCGAATTTTCCCGTTTACCCCCATAATATTCGAATTTCTAAAACTGTCGTCGTAGTGGATATATTTGCAGTTCGTTACACACAACGTCACAATTAGAACCACACAGTGTTAAATTTATTCCATTTTACATCCCTGCTTGTATTAAAAGTTGACAAGAATTGAATGTAAAATTAATAAGATAAAAAGTACAACAACTTTTAACAAAAAGTTTAATATCACAGCAAAAATATGTAAATTAAATTATAAAATATTAAAGAATTTTAAAGAGTATAAATCATTGTTTACGCCAACTAATCAAATACCATGAGAAGTTATTTAACATTTCTTATTTAAGAACCCTTTTTAAAAAAGCCAGACATAGGACTAACAAAAAAATCCAAAGCAGGAGACTATTTATTATAAGTATTAAATAGTAAACTACCACAACGAAATGTTGTAACATGTAGAAGGTTGTGGCAGCCAAGGCAGTTTATATAAGTACATAGTTATTTGTTGTTTGATAGGTTAGGTTTATTGTTACGCTTACATAAAATATCCTTTATACATAGTTCGTTTGTAACTTAAACGACAATATGACGCCATTAAAATGTAATGATTTGATTAAAGCACGCAACTATAATTTCTTTGAAAATAAAAACAAAACGCAACAGGTTGAAAAGAAACACTTTTTCTATACTGTATGTGTATTATATATTTAAAAAAATCAATAATAAAAAGCTATTATGCATTTCATACATCAATTCGTGTAGACATGATAAACAACTGTTTTATTAAAACAAAAATATAGTATTGAAAAGTCTGTTTTTTATATATTACAAATGAAGAGGTTATGAAACGGGACAATAGCTGTATTTTAAACATGAATTAGTTGTGATAAGTGCTAGTTAAAAAATGTAACTTTTATTGCTAAATTCTGAAAAGAGGAACTTTATTGAAACGTCCCAATATATGTAAGTATGGTATGATTGGCAATTTTTTAGTAAAGTATTTTAGAAACAGAATTATTAAAGAAGTCTTGTTCAGAACTTAGCTATTGGCAGATTGTTAACATGCTAGTGGCAATCAATCTAGTTTTATTTTGCTAGTCTATCAGACTGATGGACGTGTGTTCTATTCCCACCAGGGACTCTATGACTCATCGCCAATCTGCCTCGGTGAATAAAGTTAGAATTGTAATTGTTGTAGATTCAAAATATCATTAATTGTATAACTTTAATGAAATTTTTATTGTCTGTCATTATAAATAACATCCTTCAACATCATTTCAACAATCTTTCATGTTACCTTTTGAAAATGCATAATAAAGTATTTATCATGTATATTTCATAAACATGTTTTCAATATACCAATCAAAATATTTTCATCAATATTTGCCGTATTAACATGGAATGTCATTGCCTACATCAACCTACATACATACATATACATATACATAGTTAGTCAGTTTGAAAGGAGGATGTATGTTACATCAAATCAATTGGGCCTTTTTTGAACCCACGAACTCTGGTCTAACCGACTAGAAGACATATAAAGAGGATGTTTCATTACTTACTTATCATCGATAGGATTGGAAAGTAGAATAATAAAAAGTTAAACAAATGTTTCTCAGAAAAAAATTGATATAAATTACACATGTAATTGACAGCTTTGGTAAAACAATAGTATAAGGACTAGGGAAACCAAAAATATGCTTTAAAAAAGTGCAGTAAAAAAAAATAAAAATATGCTCTTAAAATTTATAAAACAGGATCTAAAATTTAAAAAGTTTTAGTTACCTTTTTACATTGAAAAGGCCTGAAATAAACAACATTTCGTGTCTGCACTAAATTTTGAAATATGTATGTATATTGGAGTTTAAATGTTATTTTAAACAATTAATTTATTAATGTTCAGTAGGTTTCGATAACCAATAAAATGCCTCGATGTAATGTGTAAAATATACAAAAATATTCGCCAACAAATAGACGCCAAAATTCTTAAGTTCTTCTGATATATATAAACAATATCTTGTCTATGAATTCATACGACGCACCATAAAAGACATGCAATTGCATATTTTGGATTCCCTGATAATGACACACACACCGAAAGGGCAATTTGCTAAAATTGTATAATTAAGTAGACTTTGTACATCATAGATACGCTCTCATTAGAAAAATAAACAAAAAATAATAGAAAAGGTAGACAAGTCTGACTATATATAACCATTTGCCTATAAATGGAGTAATTTTCAGAAACCATTCTTAAAAGAGCTCTATCGTAATATTCCAGGGGCGTTACTCTATAACTCGATTCGAATTTGTATGTTAAATACATTGTGTTAGGAAAGCTTTTTCTTTCAAATCGAAAAACCCAGTAATATACATAGTTTTTATACGTATAAAAGTTGTTCTTATTAAATTATGTTTGTTAGATATTCTTTGGATGTTAGTTTTAGTCGATTTGTATATGAATATTCTTAAATTATTTGACATTCCTTTTGTAATTTTTTCTATAATATAATTTTTCGACCCTATATTATGTTCCGAGTTCTGGAGTGATGAGCAAAACTTGAATAAAACTTGAGCTTTTACTTTACAAACCTATTATTAAACCTACTCATGAAATATTTCAGAGTAGGTAGGTACGATTATTTTTGGCATTACAGACATCACTATCCTCAGAAGAGCTTACTTGTTTTGTAAACAAAAATATCCTAAAAAAATTAACATTAAGTATATTATGTTAACATTGAACAGTGGTAAACATTTTTATATCCTTAATGTAATTTTTTAAAAATAAAAATATTTTAATTAAATCTATTTTCTTTATATAGGTAGCTATAGTATAAAATATTTTGGCATTGGTAGTTTTTGTAAAACTGATGGTCAATGTTAAAAATATGTGTTTAAAAAAAAAGTTCAATTACCTTCTAAAATTGAAGGCTTATCTAGTGTTGAGGTGCCACCTGCACCACCACTGCCGCCTCCCCCTCCTTTATTTGGATGATCCATACGTTTGGTTGAGGAGCGTGTTCTCTTCCACTTCTCCAGTTTTAAAACAAAAAACTTTTTAACTGTAACACTTTTTTTTAATTTGGGGATATTTTTTATAGGCGTTAACTTAATTTCGCAATTTTGCTTTTTGTATAGAAATAAATTATCACTTTTTTCTTTGTCAATGAATTAATTGTACTACTAACGTTTTAAACAAGTCACCACGTAATGCTTTTCTTTTTTTGTTTTGAATTTTTAGCTTATTTTCTTATCACGGCTGCAGAAGTTGCTGTTTAATATTTATAACATTATTGTTATATTTTAAACCTGGCTAAAAATAATTATTTTATTTTTTAGCTTAAATTTTCTTTTTTGTATGCTAATTTTCTTTAAATTTCCGTTTTATTTACTATATACACTCACAAAACAAAGTTCTCTAATCAACTGGTTTTATTTTTATATTGAAAGGAAACGACAAAGAGAGGCTCCCAACAAGATGATATTGTAAGACCAGCTGTTTATTGTTTACTATTCAACTTAATGTCAAACTACCTTTAAAAAAAATTATGTCTTTTAAAAATGTATTCTTTATATTGTCAAAATCCCTACATAAAGAAATTTAAAACAAAAAATCGTCCCCCCTGCTGACACCTAATAATTAAATCTTGGTTCCAACTAAATAATGACTAAACGACAACAAAAGGGGAGTATTATTTTGCCGTAGAGAATTATACATATTTTGCTACGTCGTATTCTTTTTTTATTATTTTACCAAACTTTAATTTTTGCACTTTATGTTAACATTTTAAATCCTCTTTTAATTTAACAAATTATTTTTTTATATTGCATTATAATAACAAAATACTATAACAATTTAATTTTTATGCAATGCACTTTGCAAAAAATAACAACAAATTACGCCGAAGAGAAATGTAAAATTCTTATTGACAGCAGTGGGGCTAAATTAGCTATTTTTAGCATTTAATTATTAGAATTCTAGCGATTTTAAATAAGTTATGTATTCTAGAATGGCTCAAAAATGGAAATTGCTGATGTTGGAACCAAAAATTAACTTACATACATATGTGTCAAATATTTGTTCCCTTACATTAGTATCAAATATAATGGCTTGGATTCTAAGATAAAAAGTTACTTTTTTGAGATTTTTACATATTTTTTTCGTATTTCTTACAATGATTCTTACAAATATACGCAATTGTTGTAATATATAAAAGGTCTTCCAAAGGCGCTTTCAACATCATATCAAACATTTAATAATACCAAGGTAAGTATATAACTTTTAAACCAAAATAGAGATGTTATGAACAATTAAACAAATCGCCGCTATTAACAGCACTGTTTGGTAATGCAGTTTTCAGCTAATTTACAGAGTTGTACCACACGGTACTTAATAAATGTCAGAACACGGCATGATCTTTGGCAAGGCATTAAATTCTTTAAAGTAATTTAAAATTAAATAAAGATTAAAAATATTAATCGATAACTAATAAAATTGTATTTGTATTTTTTAAAAACTTATGCAATTGTAAAAACGTTTATAATCGTTTGCATAAAACGTTTATTTAAAAACAAAATATTTTTCCATCTGGCATCACTGAAACTAATAGTTTTGTTTTTTTTAATCAGTCCTTAATATTTCGTCTTGTAAAACGTTTTAACTAAAAAAATGGAAAATATTCCGCGTACGCATGAGGGTAAGTAAAATTCTTTCCAAGATTAAGTTTGTGCCATTACTGCAGATATTAATTTCATAAATTTATTACAAAATGATAACTTCTCTAACTAAAATTACATATTTTTCCTCAGACATTGAGGCTCAAATTGCCGATATACAATCGAAAAAGAAGGAAGTACAAAAAAGTGCGAGTGAAGGTGTAGGACTATTGGATAGTGGCAACTTTTATGATACTGATTTTTATGATGAAGGTGCAAAAAGCAAAAGTCGCTATGAAGGTTATCACACTTCTATTGCGGCCAATGAAGAAGCTGACGAGGATGAAGATGAGGGCATACCAGTAACACAAAAGCGCACCACATACACAGCACCAAAATCAGTTTTGAATGAAGTGACTCAGGTGAGTTATTGTTTAAGGAATACGTATACCTTAAATGAGAATATGTTAATATTTCAGGGTAAGGAAGATGTTGATCCTCTGGCTGACCGTAGACGTCCGACTATAGCCGATCGTGAGGATGAATATAAACAGAAACGTCGCCGTGTTATTATTTCACCCGAACGTGCTGATCCCTTTGCTGAGGGTGGCAAAACGCCTGATGTCGGTTCCCGTACATACACGGACATTATGAGGGAACAAATGTTAAAGGGAGAAGAGAGTGAGCTAAGGCGTAAAATTATTGAGAAATCTAAGGATGGTACCTTATTGAAAACTGTACCAGATCCACCAAAAGAAGGTGGCCGTAAACGTGGCAGATGGGATCAAACTGTAAGTGACAGTTTTGTGCCCGCAAAAGTAGCAGCCACTCCAAGTAGTGCCGCCACTCCTACATGGGAGGAGGTAAGTAATATGTCTTTATATGTTTGTAAAAAAATATTAAAATATTCACTTGTTGTTTTCCAGAAAACTCCCGCCGATCATCGTTGGGATGAAACACCGGCTCATAAAACGGGGGCTGAAACTCCAGGAGCTACTCCAGGCATAACTACTCGTATTTGGGATGCTACACCAGCTCATGCAATGACACCGGGCCATGAAACCCCTGGACATGAGAAGTCGGTCAGACGTAACCGTTGGGATGAAACACCCAAGACCGAAAGAGAAACTCCTGGTCATAGTGGTTGGGCTGAGACCCCAAAGCCGGACAGAGGAACCAGTGATAATGTGGTCGCTGAGTCTACACCAGGAGCTTCGAAAAGAAGATCTCGTTGGGATGAAACACCATCTAATGCTACACCTTCGGCTATGACACCGAGCATGACGCCAAGCATGACCCCACACGCTACACCCGGACATGTAACACCTATGTTAACACCTGGAGGTTCAACACCCATTGGTGTAAAGGCGATGGCCATGGCTACACCAACTCCTGGTGCCTTAGCTGCCATGACACCTGAACAATTGCAGGCCTATCGTTGGGAAAAAGAAATTGATGAAAGAAATCGTCCCTTCACCGATGAGGAACTTGATCAAATGTTCCCTCCTGGCTATAAGATTTTACCACCACCAGCTGGTTATGTGCCACTACGTACGCCAGGTCGTAAATTAATGGCTACTCCTACCCCCATCGCAGGTACACCTGCCGGCTTCTTTATTCAAGTTGAGGATAAAAATGCCAAGTTTATGGACAATCAACCAAAAGGACAAAATTTACCATTTATGAAACCAGAAGATGCTCAGTACTTTGACAAATTGCTAGTAGATGTTGATGAGGATTCATTGTCACCAGAGGAAATGAAAGAACGTAAAATAATGAAACTTTTACTAACCATCAAGAATGGGTCTCCTCCAATGCGTAAATCGGCCTTACGACAAATTACCGATAAGTCCAGAGAATTTGGTGCCGGTCCTTTGTTCAATCAAATTTTACCACTGCTTATGTCTCCCACATTGGAAGATCAAGAGAGGCATCTTTTGGTTAAAGTCATCGATCGTGTTTTGTATAAATTGGATGATTTAGTAAGACCTTACGTTCACAAGATTCTTGTAGTTATTGAACCTTTGCTCATCGATGAAGATTACTATGCCCGTGTTGAAGGTCGTGAGATTATATCAAATCTTGCCAAGGCAGCTGGTTTGGCAACTATGATCTCTACTATGCGTCCTGATATCGATAACATTGATGAATACGTACGTAACACTACCGCTCGTGCATTTGCTGTTGTCGCCTCGGCTTTGGGTATTCCCTCTTTACTGCCTTTCTTAAAAGCTGTATGCAAATCGAAGAAATCTTGGCAGGCTCGTCACACCGGTATCAAAATTGTACAACAAATTGCGATTCTAATGGGTTGTGCAATTTTGCCTCACCTTAAAGCTCTAGTGGAAATTATTGAACATGGTTTGGTAGATGAACAGCAAAAAGTTCGTACCATTACTGCTTTAGCTATAGCTGCTTTGGCTGAAGCCGCTACTCCTTACGGTATTGAGTCATTCGATTCAGTACTAAAACCCTTGTGGAAAGGTATTCGCACACATCGTGGCAAAGGTTTAGCTGCCTTTTTAAAGGCTATTGGTTATTTGATTCCCCTTATGGACGCTGAATATGCCAACTACTATACACGTGAAGTAATGCTTATTTTGATTCGTGAGTTCCAGTCTCCTGATGAGGAAATGAAGAAAATTGTCTTGAAAGTAGTGAAGCAATGCTGTGCCACCGATGGTGTTGAAGCCCAATATATTAAGGAGGAAATTTTGCCTCATTTCTTTAAATTCTTCTGGAATCATCGTATGGCTTTAGATCGCCGTAATTATCGTCAGTTGGTAGATACTACAGTTGAAATAGCCAACAAAGTGGGAGCCTCAGAAATTATCAATCGCATTGTGGACGATCTCAAGGATGAAAATGAACAATACCGCAAAATGGTCATGGAGACCATAGAAAAGATAATGGGTAATTTGGGTGCAGCCGATATAGATTCTCGTCTTGAGGAGCAACTTATTGATGGTATACTCTATGCTTTCCAAGAACAAACTACTGAGGATGTGGTAATGTTAAACGGTTTCGGTACTATAGTCAATCAATTGGGTAAGAGAGTAAAACCATATTTGCCACAAATTTGCGGCACCATACTTTGGCGTTTAAATAACAAATCAGCTAAAGTGAGACAGCAGGCAGCAGATTTAATTTCCCGCATTGCCATTGTAATGAAGACCTGTCAAGAGGAAAAACTTATGGGACATTTGGGTGTCGTGCTTTATGAATATCTGGGCGAAGAATATCCTGAAGTACTGGGTAGTATTCTGGGTGCCCTTAAGGCAATTGTTAATGTCATTGGTATGACCAAAATGACACCGCCCATCAAAGATCTTCTGCCACGTTTGACACCCATTTTGAAAAATCGTCATGAAAAAGTGCAAGAAAATTGTATTGATCTAGTGGGTCGTATTGCGGATAGAGGTCCAGAGTATGTATCAGCCAGAGAATGGATGCGTATTTGTTTTGAGCTTTTAGAGTTGTTAAAGGCTCATAAAAAGGCAATTCGTCGTGCCACTGTAAATACATTTGGTTATATAGCCAAGGCCATTGGTCCCCACGATGTGCTCGCCACTTTACTTAACAATCTTAAAGTACAAGAACGTCAAAATCGTGTTTGTACCACCGTTGCTATAGCTATTGTGGCCGAAACTTGTCGTCCTTTTACCGTATTGCCAGCTCTTATGAATGAATATCGTGTGCCAGAATTGAATGTCCAGAACGGTGTGCTTAAATCCCTTTCCTTCCTTTTCGAATACATTGGCGAAATGGGTAAAGATTATATATATGCTGTATGTCCTCTACTAGAAGATGCTCTTATGGATCGTGATTTGGTACATCGTCAAACAGCCTGTGCTGCGATCAAACACATGTCTTTGGGTGTTTATGGTTTCGGTTGCGAAGACGCTCTCGTGCATTTGCTGAACTATGTGTGGCCCAACATATTCGAAACGTCCCCTCACTTGGTGCAAGCTTTTATGGATGCTGTTGAAGGTCTGCGTGTTTCTTTGGGCCCTATTAAAATCTTACAATACACCTTACAGGGTTTATTCCATCCTGCTCGCAAAGTACGTGATGTCTACTGGAAAATTTACAATTCTCTCTACATTGGTGGTCAAGATGCTTTGATAGCTGGTTATCCCCGCATAACAAATGATCCGAAAAATCAATATGAACGTTATGAACTTGACTACACACTTTAAAGAAAGAT